ATGATGATGATGATGATGATGATGATGATGATGATGATGATGATGATGATGATGATGATGATGATGATGGCGTTGTTGATGATGCTGATGATGATGATGATGATGATGATGATGATGATGATGATGATGATGCTGCTGATATGATGATGATGATGATCATGATGATGCTGATGATGCTGATGCTGATGCTGCTGGTGATGATGATGTTGTTTATGATGCTGCTGCTGATGATGATGATCATGATGATCATGCTGATGATGAGGCCGATGATGCTGCTGATTATGATGCTGATGATGATGCAGATTATGATGATGATAACGATGATCATGCTGATGCTGATGATGTTGATGATGCTGATGATACTGATGCTGCTGATGATGATGACGCTGATGGTAAAGCTGACTGTGCTTGAGATGTTGTTGAGGATGACGATCAGATGAAGACGAATAAGACGATGATAATGATGATGCTGATGATGATGCTGACTGTGCTGGAATTGTTGTTGATGATGACGATTAAGATGAAGACGATGCTTATGCTCTGCTGCTGCTTCTGCTGGTGCTGCTGCTGATGATGATGATGCTGATTATGATTCTGATGAAGAAGCTGACGCTGATGATGCTGATGATGATGGTGAATAAGATGATGATGCTGATCATGATGTTGATGATGAGCACGGGTGATGAATATGAGGACATGCGGAGATCGGGAGAGTGGAGGGAGGGGGGCAGCGGGAGAAAGGTGTGAACGCGTGGCGTTGAGTTATATATGCGAACGAGGACCCAGCACCACAGGGTGGCCGGGAACAGGCCCAAGCCCACGAAGAGGAGACGAAGCAGCAGCAACAGCAGCAGCAGCAGCTCCAACGACAACAGCAACACAATTTTCAGCAGCAGCACGAAACGTGGATCACCTCGCAGGCTCCTCGGCCCAGCAGGCGTCAGGGCCCCGCAGGCAGGGACTCCTACTGAGCCAGGACAACTGGCACGCCCGAGAAAAGGCTGCAGCCGTGGGTGTAGACACATACAGTGGGGGCCCGTGCCAAGAAACACCCTGCTTGCCTCCTGGGTGCACTTTTTTTACTCGTACGTAAAAGGTGTATTTCTATGTATGTATGTATGTATGTATATGTTGATATACAGATATACATAACATATACGTTTCTACATTTAGGTATAACGGAAAGCGTGACGTTCCCACGCCAAAAGAGAATGGACATCTTCGGGTCTCAGGGTTGGGTTTTTTGTGGACGGTTTCTTGTGGACTGGCCTCCACTGTACTCCGCTTTTCGTCTTCTCCCGCCGGACCCGGCAACGTCCCGATTTGCGATGCCCTGGCTCACGGGGCCCCGAGCGTGCGCCGAATATTGAAGAAGAGAAAGCAATATATACATAACACTTTAGCGCTCCGAGCAGATTTCTTGGATCCGCGCTGGGCCCCCCCAGCGGCGCCTCGGGCGCCGCCCGTGGCGCGCGGAGCGCGCCGGGGAGGGGGCCCCAGCGCGGATCCGAGAAATCCGCGCAGCGCCAAAAGTTTATGTTTATGTGCTTTGTCCTTCCTCCAGCACATGCGCGGAATAGGATTGGCCAGGCGCCCCATCCTTCGGCACCTTGGGGTGCGGCCGACCGAGCGTCCAGGCTGCAGTCGGACCCAGGTACAAGCTCGAGGTCGGTTCGGGGAGGCTGCCCTGAGGTTCTTCGTGCCTGTTGGATTCTCTTGTGCATCCGGGGGCGGGTACCCTTTGATGTTCTGTGTGTTTTGGCCGGCGGAGGGTCTCGTGTTCTTGAAGGATGTTCATCTGTGCCAGGTCCGCTTGCAAGTAGCAGGAGAGGTCGAGCCAGACTTGGGAGGAGGGGGCAGTCCAAGCTTGGCTCGGGGTTCTCCTCGAGGAGGAATCCCTGACCAACCCTGAGGACCCCCCCTCATGGCCCGGCTAGTGCTTCCTGACCTCCACGGTTGGCGTTGGAAAAATAGCGTGCCACATCGATCTACGAGAAGTATGCTATCCCCGTGAGGCGATCCCCCCTGCGAGGGCTTCTTCGGTGCACGCCATCCCCGAGGTTGGGGGATAGCGTGTTGCCGCAGAAGATGGCGACGAGGGTGGCGATGATGCCATCCTCCTCCTACTCCTCCTCCTCCTCCTCCTCCTCCTCCTCCTCCTCCTCCTACCTCCTCCCTCCTCCTCCTCCTCCTTCTCCTCCTCCTCCTCCTCCAAGATACACGGGGAGACCCATGCCAAGATACACTGGAGACCCATACACTGGAGACCCTTGGATCGGCGCTGGAGCCCGCTGGCGGCGCCTCTGGCGCCGCCCCTGGCGCGCCCAGGAGGGGGTCCGCCGCAGATCCAAGATATCCGCGCGGACGTCCGAAAGATCATGCTTGATGCAGTTTCTCGTCCTCGAGTCCAAGACCAGGGGGCAAGGCTTGGGCATAGTGCAGTGCAGACCCATGCCAAGGAACGCCCTGCTTGTCTCCAGGGTGCCCTGGGTTTCTTGGGCTTCCATGGTTTTGCTGGGGGAAGCGTGACGTTCCCACACCAAAAGCCAGTGGACGTCCTGGGGTCTCCGGGTTGCGTTTCTTGTGGAAGGTTTCTTGTGGACGGGCCTCCACTGTACCGATGCCGCTGCTCCCTGGCCCCTCCTGGGGTGCGTTTTGGTCAGATTTTCGAGGCGATTTCCTGATCGTGGCGACGAGGGTCTCCCACCAGGCTCAAGAAGGCGAAGACGCTGTGAAGGGTAGCAATCTCGGTACCTTTCTCTCTGTGCTCTACCGTGCAGCCGATCCTCTCCCTGGGCGCGTTCTGACCAAAATTTCGAAGCGAATCCAGCGTTGCCGACAAGGGCATCCCAGAAAGCCCAAAAAGGGGGAAACGGGCAAAGGGTAGAGGTATGGGTACCTTTTTCCACTTCCGGCGCGTTCTGTCCATATCGGGTGCGCCTCGGCATTGTGGCGCCCCTTTCAAGAAAGTCCAAGACGCTCTGGGTACCCCAACCCTCGACGTCGTGCTTTTTGTCAAGACGTGGATCCCCAGAGGTCTGGGATCCTTCCCGGGGATCGTTTTTCCATCCTGAGTCCTTTTTGCTGGTCCTGGGGCCTGGCAAGGGCCCCCAGAGGCAGAAGAGTATCCAAAGACCAGCCGTCCTGGTGTGTGTGTGTGTGTGTTTTACGACGCGAGGGGGTCTGGGGTCCTGGTCTCCTTCGGCAAGGGCTCCCTCGAGGGCGCGAAGTTATTCGCGCTTCGCGCTTCGCGGTCCTCGTTTCTCCTCCCCCTCCTCCTCGTCCTCCTTTTCTCCCTTTGGGGGGGCGGCGCGAGAGCGCGAAATTATTCGCGCTTCGCGCTTCGCGGAGCGCGAAGCGCGAAGTTGGGAGCCCTAGAATAACAGGGAGGGGGTCACATTTCGGGGGGGGGGGTCTCTTCCAGGCGATCTTGGAGGGCCTGGAGGGGTCTGGGGACGATGTTCTGGAGGGTTCTCCCACGGGGGAGGTCCGAAATGGCTTGTCTTGGAGGGTCCAGACCCCCTCCCTTTTATTACGAAGTCTGGACTACCTTCTTCGATCGGATGATCACCCGTACACCTCTCACGAGCAGTTTTTTTTTCAATCGCAGCGGTTTTCAACCGCGGCGTTGTATTCAACGATGCGAGGGAGTCCGGGTACGTGTGCGCGTGGCCGACAGCGGGCCTCATCTGCGCGCTGGTTTGGGCACGTACTCCCGTGGTCTGGGGTATCAGGCTCCGTATCGGCGACGGCACAGCCGTGGTCGGAAGCGGGCCCGATCCAGCATCCTCCCGCGCTGTACTTCCGACCTGCCCCTGTCTCATCCGGCAGGGTCCCGGGCTCCGTCCGCCCTCCTCGGGCTTCCTGGTCCCTCCATGAGGCTTTCGCAGCCCTGGAACGTGCGCACGACTGCCCCCCCCCCCAGGAGCGTGATGGGCCAATCTTCCACCACCACTACCATGGGTCTGACGGGGGAGAAAAGAGGATTTTCAAGGTCCTCCTCCTTCTCCCTCCTCCTCCTCCCTCCTCCTCCTCCTCCCTGCTCCTTCTCCCTGCCCCACCGTCGTGAGTATCTCAACCGTTTGACGGCGGCAAGGCTGAGCAGCGTCACCGCGGTTCCTCGACTACGTCGGATAGCTCGAAGCTCGAAGTCCTCCTCCTCCGTCTCCTCTCTCCCTCTTCCGCCTCCCTTCTCCTCCGCCTCACATCCTCCCTCCTCCCTCCTCCTCCCTCCTCCTCCTCCTTCTCCTCCTCCTCCTCCTCCTCCTGCTCCTCCTCCTCCTCCTCCTCCCTCTCCTGCCTGTGGCAGTGGTGGTGGTGGAGAATCTGCCCATCAGAGCTGCGTTTCGCCGCTGCGTTCTGGGCGCGCTCCGCCGTCCGCGGCCCCCTCCCCGCCCCCCCCTCGCCCGCGCTCCTCCCGCTCCTCCCTCGGGAGGGAGAGAGAACCACACAGACACAGTTTATCGTCGATCCTCAGGGAAAAAAGACAGGGGGAAGAAGAGAATACCGATGCATGTGTGTGTGTGTGTGTGTGTGTTTGTGTGTGTGTGTGTATGTATGTGTGTGTGTGTCTATGTGTGCATGCATGTATGTATGTATGTATGCGTATGTATGTAAGTATGTAAGTATATATAGATGTATGTATGTATTTATAGACTGATGTATGTATGCATGTACGTATGTATGTCTGCATGCATGTATGTCGATATGCATGCATGCATGCATGCATGCATGTCTGTATTTATGTATGTATATATGTATGCATGTATGTAGGTATGTGCGTGTATGCGTGAATGTCTGTCTGCTTGTCTGTATGTATGTATGCCTGTATGTCTGTATGTCTGTATGTCTGTATGCCTGTATGCATGTATGCATGCATGCATGTATGCATGTATGTATGTATGTAGGTAGGTAGGTAGGTAGGTAGGTAGGTAGGTAGGTAGGTATGTATGCATGGATGCATGCATGCATGTATGTATGTATGTATGTATGTATGCATATGTATGTATGTATGCATGTAGGCATTCGTGCGTTCGTGCGTGCATGCATGCATGCATGCATGCATGATGTATGTATGCATGCATGCATGCATGCATGCATGCATGCATGTATGTACGTATGTATGTATGTATGTATGTATGTATGTATGTGTGTATGTGTGCATGCATGCATGCATGCATGCAATCATGCATGCGTGTAGGTAGGTAGGTAGGTAGGTAGGCAGGCAGGTAGGTAGGTTGGTAGGCAGGTAGGTAGGTAGGTCGGTAGGTAGGTAAGTCTATATTGATACACACACAAACATATATATATATATATATATATAGCTATATACACATGTTTATACATAGTACATGTACAAATGTCTATATATATGTATGTATGTGTATATATAAGTATGTATAGGTAGATCGATAGATAGATCTATCTCCCCGTGCACGAGGCCCGGGCACCCGGTGCTCGGGGGGGCATGGGAGGACTGGGGTTTCCCAGACCGCTCCTAGAGCACCCCGGAGGGGCCGTGTAGCCCCCAGACTGCCCCAGAGAGCTCCAAGACGCTCCCAGAAACCCCCGGGGGACTTCGACAAGCCCCTCCAAGACAGCCCAGATAGCCCCAACGTGGCCCCAGATGGGTTCCAGACTGGAAAAACACAGCCCAAGAGGCCTCCGAGAGGCCTCAAGAGACCTCCGTGAGGCGTCCGGGAGAGCCCGAAGAGGCCCAAGTCCTTGATTTTTTGTTTTTTTTGTGTATGTTTTTCGGTGTCTCGCGTTTTCGACCTTCCGACGCTCCACGATAGCCGACGACGCCCCCAAGACCGCCCCAATTCAGACGGCCCAAGAGAGCCCCAGGACAGGCCCAAGCTGGGCCCCAGAACGGGAGCGGGAGGCCCCAAGGCATGGCCCCAACGTGCCAACGTGACCTCAAATGGGCCCAACACGGCCAATACACAGCCCAAGGGCTCTCCAAGATGCCTCCAAGAAGTGTCCCGAGAGAGCCCGAAGAGGCGCATATCGTTGATTTCTGGTTGTTTTTTCAAATGTTTTTCGCTTTCTCGCGTTCTCGAGCTTCCAACGCTCGAACACGGCCGAAGACGCCCCCACGATCGCCCCGAGACCGCCGAAGAGGCCCCCAAAAGAGCTCCAAGGCGGCCCAGGAGAGCCTGAAGACTGCCCAAGAGCGCCCAGGACTGCCCAAGAGAGCCCCAGGGCAGGCCCAAGCTGAGCCACAGAGCGGCAGCGGGAGGCCCAAGAGGCCAAGAGGCCTCCAAGAGGGCTCTAGAGAGCTCCGAGAGACGCCCCGAGAGAGCCAGAAGAGGCCCACATCATTGATATGCATTGGTTTGTTTGATGTTTTTCGCTTTCTCGCATTCTCGAGCTCCCAATGCTCGAAGACGGCCGCAGACGCCCCCAAGGCCGCCCCGAGACCGCCGAAGAGGCACCTAAAAGAGCCCCAAGACGGCCCCAGGGAACCCGAAAATAGTCCAGGAGGAGCTCCAGACGGCCCAAGAGAACCCCAGGACAGGCCCAAGCTGGGCCACAGATCGGGAGCGGGAGGCCCCAGAGCGCTCCAAGACGGCCCAGATGGCCCGGGCCTCCCCCCTCCGTCCCTCCTTCCCTCCCGCCCCCTCCCCTTGCCGCCATTCCCTCGTCTCTCCTCTTCCTCCCCTCACCCCTCAGCTTTCGTGTTTCTCCCCTCTCCTGGGACGGCCCCGCCAGAGCGCCAGACAGGCCCCGCCAGGGCGAGCGTGCCATCGCTATGCCCTATCATTTCACAAGTTGCTTTCCCCCTCCCACTCCTCAAGGGCGGCCCCGGCAGAGCGAGAGCCTTCCGACTACGCGTTTCTGTGCGTCGATGGCATGGGCCCGAGAACGCTGGAAATCGTCGTCGTGACCACACCGGGCCTTAGCGGCACCCGTGCCTCACCTGCGACTAGAACCCAAGCGCGCGCGTAGCGCGCGCGTGGTTCTCGTACTATATATATACACAATAGATATTTAGCTATGTCACTATTTATGTACACATCTGTATGTATGTATGTTTATGTGCATGTATGTATGTATTGTGTTGTGTTGTATCGTATTGTATGGTATTGTGTGGTATTGCATTGCATTGTATTGTCTTGTCTTGTCTTGTCTTGTCTTGTCTTGCCTTGCCTTGCCTTGCCTTGCCTTGTCTTGTCTTGTCTTGTCTTGTCTTGTCTTGTATGGTATTGCATTGCATTGCATTGCATGCATGCATGTATATATGTATGCATGCATGGATGTACGTATGCATGCATGTATGTATGTATGCATGCATGCGTGCATGCATGCATGCATGCATGCATGCATGTATGTATGTATGTATGTATGTATGTATGTATGTATGTATGTATGCATGTATGTATGTATGTATGTATGTATGTATGTATGTATGTATGTGTGTGTAGGTGTGTATATGTATATACATACCCGGGGAATCCTGGGATTTGTGTGTATTTATTCGTGTGTCCCTGGGCCCCG